AAGGATGTGGAACAAGAAAAGCTGTCACAAGCGTACTGGTACTTACAGCATTTACAGCGCTTCTTGCCGCTGTGTACAACATACTTGCGGATTGGGCCCGGGTTAGCACACTGTATCTCAGTATTCAAAATGCAAAGTAACAGTAAGAGCCCAGCAATAACAAGTAGAAATCAGTAGTTTGGTACATGTTGAAGTTGAAGACTGTTTTTTTTTCAAGAGCCGTGTCAACACCCAAGTAAAACGCACATTTCCTTTCAAAGAAAGTCCGCGGCAACGCAGGGCCCGTTGTCCGGGTAGTTTGCCCTAGGAAGGGCTCTAGGACCCTAGACTCCTAGACCCTAGGAATTAGGACCCTAAACCCTAAGCCCTAAACCCCAAGCCCGGATACACCTCATAGAAACCTGACCCTTCCTGGGCGCTGTACTCCTCGAGCTGTCTACAAGCTTCAGGGTTCAGGGTTTAGGGTTTAGGGTATAGGGACCCTAAACCCTAAAGCCTGAGGTTACCTCCGAGACCTTGGGATCACGACGCTGGCGCTCTCGCCCATCTTCCTGAACAGCGGCTTGACTGTGAGTTAAGGGGGTTTGGGTTGTAAGGTTTAGGGCTTAGGGCTTAGGGTTTAGGGTTCAGGGTTCAGGGTTTAGGGTTCAGGGTTCGAGAGTGTAGAGCATCATAGGGGCTCAATCTGCAGGAGCATCGAAACATGTTGCCCTAACGGTCCTCCTGAAAGAAAATATTTTCGAGAAACCACATAATATCTATATATATATATATATGTATATATATATATTTATTTATTTATTTATTTAAACATATTAATATATATATATATACACATACATAGAATACATACCTCTCTGTATTTCGCTGCACCGAACATATCCCGTTGAGTTCGGGTCTTGCGCTGGACAGTTTGAGGCTTCCGGGTATTCGGCCTGTGTGGCTGAGAGCTGTTGGTGAAGGATGAGGGTTTAGGGTTTAGGGTTTAGGGTTTAGGGTTTAGGGTTTAGGGTTTAGGGTTTAGGGTTGGGGCAAGACTCCTAAAACCTCTAACGGGTTCAGGTTGTTTGGTTTTGGGGCATAGAATTTGGATTTTTAGGGTCGAGAGGGTTTTGGGGCTTAGGGTTCAGAACCTTTAGTGCACGCCAAAAGACCTCCAACCTGTGGACAGTGGTCAGCCCTGCTCTTATTGTCATGTCTTCTGGCGTCTTTCCTGCGACAGCACCCCGTGCAACAAAAAGCAAAGCTGAGGGAAGCCCTTCACCCTGAAATCCGTGTCGACGCAGGAATGTAGGGTGTTTAGGGTGCGTACGAGTGTATGGTTTGTAGGTTTCGGGTGCTGTTGCCTTGCAGGTGCGGGCGACTACCACGGCAAATGCACAACGGCCCCGGCCCAAGTACCAAAATGCGAGGTGCCCTCACTAAGGCTTATAAACCCTATCCCCTACACCTAGGACCCAGACTAGGCCCTCATTCTCTTTTATTAGGGCTTAGACTCCCTGACCAGCCCCGTTCAAGCCTAACACCAAAAAGGGGCGCCCTTGTTATTCCTAGGTTGCTCTTGGGTCCAGACAAGAAACCCGAAAGCCAAAAGATTATGACCTAAAGCCGTTGAGGTCTCAGGGAGCCTGAACTCCTCATACATCAGGGTTTACAGAGAATCTCTACCTTCCTAGGGGTTTAGGGTTTCGGGTTGAAGGTTGTGGCTGGTATGGTGGAGATATGAGGCTTATCCATTTGGGTTCGCTTCTCAAGTCTTCACTTCTGGCCCGCATAGAAGGCCTGAGCCGCACCAATCCTCGCAAACCTAATGATGAGCCCTTTTTGGGCTTAGGGTGCCTAAACCCGAATGTTCCTCCTCATAACAGTCCTGAATAGGCATTATAGTAGGGGGTACTAGAATTCCTATTTAAGGACTCTTAGGATAAGGGGGAACATCCCAACCCGAAGCCCTAAACCTCACAAGTCCTAAACTCTGAAACCCTGCCTGCAAGGTACTTGGGGGCGGGAGTCAGCCCTTGCTCTCAGCCACCAAAACCCTCAAACCCCGAAGCCTTCAAACACCAAAGAGGCCCTGAACCCTAAACCGTAGTGCCGCTACAGCAACGCACTGCACAAAATCCGAAACCCTAAATCCTAAACTCTAAATCCTAAACCCTACTCTGAAAATGGTCGGGGTAAACTTTGTGCCCTGAACCCCTGCAGTCCAAACCCTGAGCCTTATGAAGGCAGCCTCTCTGAACCCCCAAGACCCTAACAGGTTTAGGGTTTTGGGGCTTGGTGTAGAAAATCCTAAACCCCAAAGCAGAAGAGAAAAGTCCACACCACAAGAACAAGTACGAGGACATCACGAGCATCCTCTCTGAACCCCCAAGACCCTAACAGGTTTAGGGTTTTTTGGGGTTTGGTGTATAAACCCTAAACCCCAAAACAGAAGAGAAAGCTGCCACAACAAGAACTAGGGTTTTGGGGTTTGGGGTATAAACCCTGAGACCCAAAACAGAAGAGAAAAGTCCCCACCACAAGAACAAGTCCTAAACCCCCAAGACCCTAACAGGTTTAGGGTTTTTGGGGTTTGGGGTATAAACCCTAAACCCTAAACCCTAAACCTAAATTCGAGGACATCACGAGCATCGACAGCAACTTCGGGAACGCCGAGCTGCTCCGCGAGTTGGTCCGCGACGCGCACATGCGCCTCGGCGTGGAGGGCGTTTAGGGTTTAGGGTTTAGGGTTTAGGGTTTAGGGTTGAGGGTTTAGGGTTTAGGGTTTAGGAGGGCAGGCGTGTCTGAAGGGCCTAAAAGCCCTAAACACCCAAACCCGAAAGCCCTTATCAAGCCCTGAAACCCTAAAGGTTCGTCATCTCCAGAATCTCGGCGTGTTAGGGTTTAGGGTTTAGGGTTTGGGGTTTGGGGTTTAGGGTTTAGGGTTTAGGGGGTTTAGGGCTAGAGCCTTCCGAGGTTGGGAATGAAAGTGGTTCTCGATGTGCTGCTTGGCTGCGCTGGTAGCTGCGACGTAAGGCCTAAGTACTGGACCTTAGGGTTTAGGGTTTAGGGCTTAGGGTTTAGGGTTTTGGGCTTAGGGCTTGGGGCTTAGGGTTTGGGGTAGACAGGGTTTACTCATGCAGGGCTCTATGGTGCAAGATTCCCAAGTTATGGTTCCTTGTATTGGGGAGAAAGAGCAATGCGATGAGAAGTCCTACAAAGACCCCTCCCCCAAATAAGGCTACCATGAGCTTGGCTTAGGGTTTAGGGTTCAGGGTTGTAGGAGTTTAGGGTTTAAGGTGCATGCAGCAGCGTCGGGAGTACCTTAACCAAAGACCCTGAACCCCAAACTCTAGACCATGCACCACGAACCTTCCTGTTCGGCACCCCTTTGCCGACTCATCCGAAGGAAGTATGCTTTTCCGTCGGTTTGGTTGAGGAGTAGTTGGTGCAGGTCGCACACCCTAAGCCCTAAACCCTACCTAAAAAGCGGCGGGGGGGGAGGGGGGGGCAGGTAAGGATAGCCCATGGTCGAAGAAGTCTTCACTTTCCAAGGGTATGTGAACCCTTCAAGCCTAAGCCCAAAGACCTGGAAAGCGAAAGAATGGTTACATGATTTAAGGCTCCGGGTGTAGGGTTCACCCTAAACCCTACACCGGACCGTGTCTTGCAATACCTTGGAGTTGAAGAAAGACAACCGAGGGTAGCATCTTCGATGCAGAGGTTTAGGGTTCAGGGCTGTGAGGGTTGAGGTTTAGGGTTTAGGGCCCAGGGCTGTGGAGTTGAGGGTTGAGAGTTTAGCGCTTAGGGGCGTTAAGGGGCAGATCCTAAGCCCTGAACCTTGCGCCCATGGCGGATCTAGAGTCCGGATCTTGCACATCCTTCTTGGTGGCTTAGAGTCCTCTTTCCTAGGATGCCCAGTAGTACCCTTATTCCCTTTTTTGGGGGGGTTTAGGTTCCCTTATAAACCCCGTTTAAGCAATATAAGGGCACCCTTTTTATTCCTAGGTTACTGGGCAACCTAGTTTCGTTGCCCTTTGTAGGGTTTAGGGTTTTGGTCTTGGATCAGCTTCGACACGGCGGCAGCCTCGAACTCCCTAGATCCTCAATCCTAACCCCCAAGCCACAAAACCCTAAACCCTAAACCCTAAACCCTAAACCCTAAACCCTAAACCCTAAACCTTAAACCCTAAACCCTAAACCCTAAACCCTAAACCCTAAACCCTAAACCCTAAACCCTAAACCCTAAACCCTAAACCCTGCCTGTGCGCAGCTCCTTGTGCAGAAAGGGCTGCTGTAGCAAAGTTCAAAATACCGAGGTTCGGCCTGCGAACTTTTCCCATACCTTGCCCTGCGCCCCCAAGATGTTCCCAATACTCTTTAGAAGACAGCGCCGAAGCAAATTAGGAGGATTCCCCGACTCACTCATGCGGGGCATGCCTGAATTCTGAACGCCCCATTCGCGCATGTACATGCATAAGGACGATGTGTATGTGTGTGTGTGTGTGACAATCAGTGTGTGTGTGTGTGTGTGTGTGTGTCTCTGTGTCTGTGTGTCTGTGTGTCTGTGTGTCTGTGTGTCTGTGTGTGTCTGTGTGTGTCTGTGTGTCTCTGTGCGTCTCTGTGCGTCTCTGTGCGTCTCTGTGTGTCTCTGTGTGTCTCTGTGTGTCTCTGTGTGTCTCTGTGTGTCTGTGTGTCTATGTGTCTGTGTGTCTGTGTGTCTGTGTGTCTGTGTGTCTGTGTGTCTATGTGTCTGTGTGTCTGTGTGTCTGTGTGTCTCTGTGTGTCTCTCTGTGTGTGTGTGTGTGTGTTCGCGTGCATGGTAGTTGTTCGGAGTTCCTGTCCCAAAAGTTGCCGAAGGTAGGGTCCGTTGAAGTGAGGATCTCTCGCCCCTGCTGTATGCTTGCTATACAAACAACGGTGCAATAGAGCTGCGATCTAAGCTGCCTCATGCTAACCCTCCTCGAACACGCATACTGAAAGCCTTGTTTCACTCCGAGCTCTCAGGCAAGTCAACCATGTTTGCGGAAGAGGCCTCCGGCGCCTCGGTTGCAGCTTAGGGCTAGAACAACCCGAGGCGATGTGACCGGAACCCTATGGAAGCTTGATGTTGAACGGTTTTAGACATGGAACCTATAAACCCTAAACCCTAAACCCTAAACGCTAAACCCTAAACCCCAAGCCCTAAGCCCTAAGCCCTAAGCCCTAAACCCTACCAGCACAGAGGATGGGATTTGGGGTTCAGGGCTCCATGTGTGAGCTCCTGGACATTGCACGAGTTCAGGGTTGCAGTGTTGAGGCAGGAAATCCCGAAAACACTTCTGCGCGAGCTTGTGTGTAAAGAAGAGGAGCATTCGGATGGCTCGGCCGTGCGTGATCTGAGTGTAGAACCAGGCTAAACCCTAAACTAAACCCTAAACCCCAAACCCTACACCCTAAACCCTAAACCCTAAAGCCTAAACCCGAAACCCTCAACCCTAAACCCTCAACCCTAAACCCTAAACCCTTTAGGCCCTAAATTTAAGAGCCTCCGGCTCAAGCCGCCGACCCCGCCAGAGCATAGTTGAAAGGTCTAAACCCGCTCGTCGGCTCAAAGGATGCTTTCCTCATCGCATGGTTCGAAGAGCATCGCAGCCTGCTCGGCAGAATCCCAAAAGTTGTGAAACGCTCGCGCCTCTGTGAAACGTGGGGGGGGGGGGGTAGGGGGTAGCACCAGGACCCAAACAGTTTAGGAGCTGAAGCAGCTTGGCACACCCGTGTTTGGGTGGGGGGGGGGGTAACAGGTGTGGGTGGCCTGGCCCTTTTTGATGCCTGATTACGATCCTTGTTTCCAAAAAAAGCCCCTATGCCCTGTGGGAAACTGCCTATGGTCCATGAGTTTACGGGTGGGGGGGGCCCTGCACGGAAAAGCTGCCGGGGTACCCCCCCTACCCCCCCCCCCCGCGTTTTGGGGAAAGAGGGAGGTTTTCACCTCCAGAAACCCATCCAACACGCCGCCAGGGTCGGCGGACCCAAAACCCTAAACCCTAAACCCTAAACCCTAAACCCTAAACCCTAAACCCTAAACCCTAAACCCTAAACCCTAAACCCTAAACCCTAAACCCTAAACCCCAACTCCCTGCTCGAAGGCTTGCTCGTGCGTAGGGAAAGGCCGGAGCTCAGGTACCTGGGATCCACCGGCAGCGTGGATGGCGTCAACCTCTGCGTGGCCTCGCCACTCGGCCAGCTTCGAAGCAACATCCCCCAAACCTTTGGAGCCCTTGAGTTGGGTTTAGGGTTTAGGGTTTAGGGTTTAGGGTTTAGGGTTTAGGGTTTAGGGTTTAGGGTTTAGGGTTTAGGGTTTAGGGTTTAGGGTTTAGGGTTTAGGGTTTATGGGTTTAGGGTTTAGGGTTTAGGGTTTAGGGTTTAGGGTTTAGGGTTTAGGGTTTAGGGTTTAGGGTTTAGGGTTTAGGGTTTAGGGTTTAGGTTTAGGGTTTCGGGTTTCGGGTTTCGGGTTCGATGTTCCCGTTATACTAACCGTCCTCAATAGGGATTCTCGTCCCCCCTATTTTCATCCCTATTCAGGACTCTTAGTATAAGGGGGAACATCCCAACCCTTAAGCCCTAATCCTCTAAACAGATCTAAGCGTTACGGGCTTTCTTCGAGCCGGATTCTACCATTTGCAACGTCTGACCTAAACCCTTTAAACCCTAAACCCTAAACCCTTTATGGCCATAAACCCTAAAAAGCGATACCATCCTCCACTGAGGCCCCCCTCCCCCAACAAAATGCCCTTGGGTTTGAGGTTTTTGTTTAGGGAATATCGATTGCCGTGCTCTGCAACAAAAGGTGTTGTTACGGTTGAAAGTTTGGGGTTTAGGCTGTAGGGTTTAGGGCTTCTAAGGTTTGGGGCTCAGGGTTGAGGGAAGCCCTAGAAGCCTTGAGCGGACAAGCTTGCACCTAGCAATCCCATTCAAAGCGTTCAAACATGTCAGCATCGCCCTGCAATCAGGGCGCTCTATATATATATATATATATATGTGCTTATAAATATATATAAATACAAATATAAATATAAATATAAAGATAAATAAAATTATAAATATAAATATAAATATAAATGCATATATTTTTATTTAATTAATCAATTTTTATTTATTTACGTATTTATTGATTTATTTATTTATATTCATATTCATATTTGTTTTTATTTGTTTTCCTTTATATTTCTTTATATGTTTTTTGTGTATGTTTATTTCTCTAGATCTATTACTGGAATCGGTTTTTTAGCATTGAGGGTTCTGATGCTGCCCCCTTGCGTCACCTTCTTCTGACATCAGGACTCAGATCCGGTCAGAGCCCCGAAGCCTGGATCAATTCCAAGGCCCTTCGCATCAGAACACCCGAATCCTTACGCTGCAAAGCCTCAACGCCCCCAAAATGATCGTTATGCCCAAGCGCTAAGCCTTCTGCCCTACACCTTAGACTCTAACCTATCCACCCAAAAACCCTGAACCCCTGCACCCCAGACCCGAACCCCAAAACCTCTCCCCTCCTAAACCCAAAAACCCCTCCACCCAAAACCCCATACACCCCTCCATGCTAAACCTACACCCTAAACCCCTACACCCCTACACCCCTAAACCCGAAACCCCTCCACCCAGAACCCTAAACCCGCGAAGCCCGAAACACTAAACCTGGCTGGTTGTAAGTCGGGAGTGAGGGAGTGAGGTATCCTATAGAATCCCTTTAAGGGTACATACAGTGCCCCAATTCCCTCACTCCCTACAAAGAAGCAGGAGCTCCCTAAAGCCCCAAACACTTAACTCGCCCCTTGGGATGTTCCCGCTTATACTAACAGTCCTCAAAAGGAATTATAGTACCCCCTATTGTAATCCCTATCAATGACTGTTAGTATAAGGACGAACAAACCACCCTAAACCCGAAACCCTAAACCCGAAACCCTAAACCCTAATCCCTGAACCCCAAACCCTAAACCCCAAACCCTAAACCCTAAACCCTGAACCCTACCCAACTCGCACCTGAGGTCTGAGGCCACCTACTGGTCGAAGGAGCGTGGGGAGCCCCTCGAAGAGTCCGTGCGCCCGGGGCCCCGGGTCCCGGGACCCGCCTGCTTTTCTATATCCCCCTTGTTTTTGTCATTATAATGTTTGTTTATATAAAACCCAAGAGGATATTAAACATACAATTTTAATCGGGTTCTAAGGGGAGTATAGTTTTGGGGGATTCGGGGCTTTAAGGGTCTAGGACGGCGGTTTCCTAAGCCCGAAACCCCCTAATTTCGGAACCCCCAGTTTCGGGATTGCAGGCTCGTACTCCTCGGCCCAATACCCTAAACCGTTTTCAGTCTATAGAGCTGCGAGTTTTGAAACACAGAGTTTATGCCAGCACGAGTCTGACTTTGTGTTTTTGTCGTTTTTCTGTGGGGCGGGGGGGGGGGGGGGGGTCAGCTACAAAGAGGGTGATGGAACCCTGAAATCCTAAAGCCCTGATACCCTAGACCATGAAACCCTGAAACCTTGAACCCTTAAACACCTGAACCTTTGCCCTAACCCTAAACCCTAAACCCTAAACCCTAAACCCTAAACCCTAAACCCTAAACCCTAAACCCTAAACCCTAAAGGTTTACCCAACCCTTAAACCCTATAAGGCCCTTAAAAACCCCTTGAGCCAGTCGGCGCCTGGGCCTTGCAGCCCGACAGCCTTGCAAACCCCAGAGCCTTGAATGATGAACCCAGGAACTCCAACTCAACCTCTAAGCCTCCCGAAACCCTAAGCCCTCAACCCTAAACCCTAAACCCTAAACCCTAAACCCTAAACCCGAAACCCTAAACCCTAAACCCTAAACCCTAGACCCTACTCCGGCTTGGGGTTCAGGGTTTGGGTTTTTCGGGCTTTGGGTTTTTGAGGGTTCCAGGGTGTAGGGTTAATGCTAAGCCCGAAAACCCTAAACCCTAAAGGTTTACGTAGTGGGATACCATCCTGCCCTAAACCCCAAACCCCAAACCCTAAACCCTAAACCCGAAACCCCAAACCCCAAACCCCAAACCCTAAACCCTAAACCCTAAACCCCAAACCCTAAACCCTAAACCCCAAACCCCAAACCCTAAACCCTAAACCCTAAACTACCCCAAGGCCAACGGCTTGGTTGGGGCGACTCGCTGCCGGTTTTCCTTCGGCACCAGCCCCGCCCCGCGTGTTTAGGATTGAGGGTTTCGGGTTTAGGGTTTAGGGTTTAGGGTTTAGGGTTTAGGGTCTAGGGTCTAGGATTTAGGGTTTCGGGTTTAGGGTTTAGGGTTTAGGGTTTAGGTGTTTAGGGTTTAGGGGTTGGGTTTAGCAGCTCAGGTATCCATCTTGCACCTCAGAAGCCTCACAACACCTGGGGTTTAGCAGCTCAGGGGCTCGGGGATTTGGGAGTTTAGGGTTTAGGGTTTAGGGCTTTGGGTTTAGGGTTTAGGGTTTGGGGGCTTGGGGGTTTTTTTTGAGGGTGAAGAGTTCAGAGGGCTCTGGGGTTGATAAACCCTCCCGATTGCCCCTAAAAGCCGGGCGAGTTTAGGGTTTAGGGTTTAGGGCTTAGGGTTTAGGGTTTTTTGGTTTAGGGCTTAGGGTTTAGGGTTTTTGAGGTTTCTGCAATGTTGGCAAAGTATTTGCAACAACCCGCATCACATCCCCGGTGGAGATTCGGGGATTTGATATCATCATTCACCTTTGCCCTAAAATCTGCAAGAGCCCTGGAACTTTATACCCCAAAAACCCTCAGGCATGGCCTCCAGCCACAACCCTAAACCCTAAGCCCTAAGCCCTAAGCCCTAAACCCTAAACCCTAAACCCTAAACCCTAAACCTCCCCAAGTTGCCAGGTCCTTCTTCGTGCGCTGTGGCTCCAGTCTTCTTTACAGGCCAGGAATCCCAAGAAGCCTAAGCCCTAAGCCCTAACCCCGAAGCCCTAAACCCTAAGCCCTACAATCCCTAAAGCCCATAGCATGGGAAACCCTCAAGTCCTAAGCCGAAAGGCCTAAATGACACCTTATAGCCCTCTACCTGGCAAAAAAACAGAGAGCCACTGAGGTGCCAAGCCGTAAAACCCCAAAATCCCTAAAGCCCACCAACCCTGATGCCCCAAGAACCCTAAGACCCAGGAACCCTAAAACCCCAAAATCCTGAAACCCCTAAAGCCCGAAGGACCCTAAAAGCCTCAAGAACTTGGGCATGACGTTCGATGCACCAAGACACGGCTGGTAGGGTTTAGGGCTTCTGGAGATTCTGAGTGTTTTTTTTTTCAGTTTTCAGGGGGTTCGGTGCTTTGTTCATATAGGCTTTGCGGATTAGTGATTTCAGGGATTAGGGTTTAGGGTTTAGGGGTTTAGGGTTTAGGGTTTAGGGTTTAGGGTTTAGGGTTTAGGGTTTAGGGTTTAATTAGGACCTAGAGTCCAGCAAAAATTCGGGCCTGTTCACGATAGCTGCAAGATGTGCGCAAGCTTCGAAGGCACGTGCCCTTCCAAGGGTATAAGGGTATAAGGGGTTTAGGGTTTAGGGTTTAGGGTCCCCCAACGAACTGCCCATAGCAAGTGCCCATGTAACTACCTTAAGAGCCCTGAACGCCCGAGGGGTTAGTGCTTGTAGGGCTCAGGGTGTTTGGGATTTAGGACGGGAACAAAAAAAAGAAGCCATAAACCCCATACCCAAAAACCCTAAGCCCTAAAAACGTTAAACCTAGAATGCAAACGCTAAACCCTGCCTAAACCCTAAACCCTAAACCCGAAACTCTTGAAAAACTGGGCCGACCATTTGCAGGCCGGGCGGATACGACTTCACATCTCTACCCATCGATGTCAACGCTTCCGAGGTGGAGGGCGGGCTGCCCCTGCCTTAGTTTAGGGTTTAGGGTTTAGGGTTTGGGGTTTGGGGTTTAGGGTTTAGGGGAAGTTGCGGAGAGCCTTTGCCATAGGGTTTCGGATTTAGGGCCACCATGGTTAAGGGTTTAGGGTTTAGGGTTTAGGGAGCCCGTGCCACAGGGTTTCGGGTTTAGGGCCGCAGTGGTTTAGGGCTTCGGGGGTTTAGTGTTAGACTGTTCTTAAGCCTGTTGGCCCAACTTCACTTGTTTGCATGCGTGCGCCTAAACCCTAAACCCTAAACCCTAAACCCTAAACCCTAAACCCTAAACCCTAAACCCTAAACCCTAAACCCTAAACCCTTTCATCTTGAAGGTTTTGCAGGGATAACGTGAGATTATCGGTTTGGGGATCAGGATTTGAACCGGTTCCGCAGTTGACGGTTTCGAGGCTTTACGGGTTTAGGGTCTAGTGTTTAGGAGTTAGGGTTTAGGGTTCAGGGTTGAGGGGCCCATTACAAGCCCTGGATCCTAAACGCGCAAGAAGGAGAGGGCTGTATGGGGCTTGTATGATCGGTGTCACTTTTTGGGCATAGCTCAAGGCACTGACCGGATTGCTTGATGGGCCAATAAGGTCAGGCTGTAGTACAGGCTGTAAGAAAGGAGGGCGGGGCACAGGCCCAAACAAAGTTGGACTCAGGCAAGCGGCTAGGTTCAGATGAATTGCGGCCCAGTTCTTGTAAGACGCTGCTAGAGTTCAGAGTTTGCAGCCGAGGCTTTCTAGCCGCAAAAACTCGAAGCCACCCGAAAAGCCCGAGATAAAATCCCGAAAGGTCTAAGCCACAGAATGGAGCGTGCTGACAAATCTATCTAGGGTTATAGGCTCGCGTAGACCCCTAAACCCTAAGCGCTCAACCCCCTACCGAAGACCCAGAGCAGGCCCTTATTCCGTTTTTTGGGTTGAGGTTCCCGTATAAGCATGTCTAGGGAACCTTTCTATTCGTTTCGTCAAGGAAACCACCTTGTTTAGGGTTTTAGGGTTGAGGGTTTAGGGTTCAGGGTTTTAGGGTTGAGGGTGCTTAAATCTCAACCGAACTCCTGTAGGGAGGAGGGTTTAAGGTGTTAGGGTTTTAGGGTTTTAGGGTTTAGGGCTTAGGGTTTAGGGCTTAGGGTTTGGGGCTTAGGGTATAGGGTGTTAGGGTACACTTCCATTTGGGGCTGCAAGATAAGCATCCCGAGGCTTTTCACCGAGATCTTCCAGGCTCGCAAGCCTGTGGGCTGTTGGGGGGCGGGGGGGGGGGGGGGGCGCGGATGGAGAGGTTGGGGGTGCTTTAGGGTTTAGGGTTTAGGGTTTGGGGTTCAGCATCTCAAGTCCAAGCATTCACTAGTCAAGAAATTACTCCAGAAAAATACCCACCCGCCCAAAGAATCCCACTACATTAAGAAAATATTTCACTTATGCAACGACTTTGCCCAGTAAAAAATTGACCTTGCCCAGTAAAAAAATGACCTTGCCCAATAAAAAAATGACCTTGTCCAGTAAAAAAATGACCTTGCCCAACAAAAAAATGACCTTGCCCAATAAAAAAATGACCTTGCCCAGTAAAAACATGACATTGTCCAATAAAAAAATGACCTTGCCCAGTAATGGCCTTGCCCAGTAAAAAAATGACCTTGCCCAATAAAAAAATGACCTTGCCCAGTAAAAACATGACCTTGCCCAGTAAAAAGATGACCTTGCCCAGTAACATTTTTACTGGGCAAGGTCATTTTTTGCTGGGCAAGGTCATTTTTTTAATGGGCAAGGTCGTTTTTTGGACGAAACGACCTTGCCCAGTAAAAAAATGACCTTGCCCAGAAAAAATGACCTTGCCCAGTAAAAAATGACCTTGCCCAGTAAAAACATGACCTTGTCCAATAAAAAAATGACCTTGCCCAGTAATGGCCTTGCCCAGTAAAAAAAATGACCTTGCCCAATAAAAAAATGACCTTGCCCAGTAAAAACATGACCTTGCCCAGTAAAAAGATGACCTTGCCCAGTAACATTTTTACTGGGCAAGGTCATTTTTTTACTGGGCAAGGTCGTTTTTTTAATGGGCAAGGTCGTTTTTTGGACGAAACGACCTTGCCCAGTAAAAAAATGACCTTGCCCAGAAAAAATGACCTTGCCCAGTAAAAAATGACCTTGCCCAGCAAAAAAATGACCTTGCCCAGGAACCCCTTAACATTTAACTTATATATGAAAGAGAGGTTTAGGGTTTAGGGTTTAGGGTTTAGGGTTTGGGGCTGTTTGGGGCTGTTTGGGTTTGTCCTGGGATCGGGGCGTCGGTCTTCCCAGCCAGCCAAGAAAGCATGTCCATTCTTGGTAGCTAAAGCCGTGATCCTCACAGAGCCCTTCATAAGCCCTAAACCCAAAACGGTATACATCCTAAACCCGAAGACCCTAAGACCACGAGACCCTAAGACCCTGAGACCCTGAAACCCTGAGACCCTGAGACCCTGAGACCCTAAGAGCCCAGCAAAGCAAGCTCAGGACGACTACTTCGAGCTCAACACCATGAACCCGGTCCTACAGGAGCTCTACACGAACCTCCTGAAGCGCACCGGGCAAAAAGCGACACCCCAAAACAAAATGCTGCATGAACCCTAAACCCTTCACCCTAAAGCTTGCCGAAACTAACGAAGCCCTAAACTCTAAACCCTGAAAACTGCCACACTCCGAGCCTCTTCAGGGCTTAAGGGCTTCATTGGGGCACGCTCTCAAGCCGCGTGTATAGGGTTTCTATCGGGCCTTGCTCTTGCACCCCCCCCCCCCCCCCCCCCACACTACCCCCCCGCCCCCAACAACGAGGGTTCAGGGTTCAGGGTTGTTTAGGGTTTAGGGATGTAGGGTTTGGGGTTTAGGGTTTAGGGTTTAGGGTTTTGGGTTTAAGGTTTTTAACCCGAACCCTCCACCAGGGCTTCCAGCTGTACCCTAAGCGCTTTGCGGGCTTGCCGGCTGCGGGAGGCCCCTCCAACAAGGTAGGTTGCATGTTTAGGGGAGGGTACTTCCCAACAACTCGGGATTTTGGGCCTTAAATGCTAGGGTTCAGGGTTTCGGGTTTTGGGGTTTAGGGTTTAGGGTTGAGGGTTTTGGGTTTAAGGTTTACGGCCCCCTCAAACCCTCAGGTATTGGATTGCCGAAGTGGACATCGACGGCTACCGGATCACGGCGGCCTCACACATCACAGCGGACTTCTCGGCGCCTTGGGCTTCATGTGTGGGGTGTCCGAAAGGGAGGGGTTTAGGGTTTAGGGTTTAGGGTTTAGGGTTTAGGGTTTAGGGTTTAGGGTTTAGGGTTTAGGGTTTAGGGTGTAGGGTGTAGGGTTTAGGGTTTGGCACACAGGCGCAGTTGCACAGCAGCTTTTCAGCTTTCTTTAAGGCCGCAATCAAAAAACCCTTCAGGGGAACCCTGCAGGGTTCAAGGGGTTTAGGGAACCCTTCATGGTCTGCAGGGTTTCCCTGCTGGGAAATCTGGTATATCGAATCCCTTAAGGTTCTCCACGACCTTGGGAACCCCGCTGTCCATCCTGCAGCTACAGTTTAGGGTTTAGGGTTTAGGGTTTAGGGCTTAGGGCTTCGGGCTTAGGGCTCAGGGCTTAGGGCTTAGGGTTTACGAACGGGTAAGGCGCCACCCCTCCATGCTGCTGTGCATAAGCCTGCCGAAGCCTACGCCCGAGCTCCCAAACTTTCCTTTATCCTGAACCCTGCGAACCCCACAAGCCCGATTAAACGAGCCCCACCCCTAGACCCTCAACTCTAAGCCGTACAACCTTTCGAGGACATGAGCCGACAACTGGAAGTCCAAGCACCCGCCCTGAAAATCCAAACATGTTTAGGGTTTAGGGTTTATAGGGTCTAGGGCATAGAAACGCCAGCGCCGCAGGCGTACCTGTCCACACACTTGCGCTTCTACGCTGCCGCCTTGGGGAAAGAGAACTTCTTCGTGGTGGGCGAAGTCAACCAGGAGCCCGGCTGTGCTAAAACACACCTGGTTCTTAGTAGAGAATGGGGGAATTAGGGCCTATCTATACCCTAAGGGATTAGATAGGGTACTCATTCCCTCATTCCCGACGAAGAACCATCCAGAAAACCATGTGAGACAAGGTGTAGGATGGGGTTTTGAAAGGTTTGCTGTTATCGGTGGGTGTATTGTAGGGCTGCTTATACATATTGGTACGTGTAGATATGGGGTGTCTCGTTGGAGATACTCGTAGAACAACTGCAAGATAAATACATAAATATGAATTTGCAAATAAATATGGATACAAATACAAAATATGCAAATAAATGTACATAAGTACATATATATATATATATACACATACACCACTTCAATGTAACTCGGAATAATCCGGATGTGTTCCAACTTTCGGGAGGCCATGATAAGCAGCCAAAAGCAATTTCTCCGGTGGCTTAGCTGCCTTAGCTAAGCAACAGACTCTGTTTTGTAGGTTGTGCCCCAGACCCTATACACCCTAAACCCTAAACCCTATAAACCCCAACCGCAACCCTAAAGCCTAAATAACCAGCGGCCAGGCCACGACTCCCTATGGAGGCAGCCACATCGGACGCGCTCCTTGGCTCAAGCAATTCTTCGCGGTTTGGGATTTAGGGTCTATCGGGTTTAGGGTTTGTGTAGGGTTTCTAGGGTTTAGGGTTTAGAGTTTAGGGCCAGTGTAGGGTTGGATGTAGAAGGTTTCGGCCCCTTGTGAGGTTCCGTGCGCCCCCAAGAAGCGTGGATGAAGGCTTTAGGCTTTTTTAGGCGCGTATGCACGGGTTGAGCTGAGTTAGGGCCCATTCATGCTTATAAACGGGGTTCCGCAAACCCAGCCCCCTAAGGAATCCCAAATTTGTGAGCAGCCCCTTCATGTCTTGCTGTCATTTCACCAAGCCGACCCTTAACCCCGCTGATTACTCTATAAGCCCTTTTCACGCAGAAATCCGAGCCTTGGACGCCTCCCAAAAAGCCTTCACCCCTTGAATCCCTACAGCTCGTACGTCCACTACTGAACCCTCAAGCCTCAATCCTACATCCCTAAACCCTAAGCCCTAAACTCCTAAACCCTAAACCCTAAACCCTAAACTCTTAGACCCCAAACCCGAAACCCTAAACCCTTAACCCTAAACCCTAAACCCTGAACACCACAAAGCCCTCAGCCGCCCCAAGGTGCAGCCGGGAACTGGACCCGCCACTCTGCCCCAGAAGGTGCGACCCTACACCCCTACGCCCCAAAACCCAAAAACCCTAGGGTGTTTGGCTTTAGGGTTTAGGGTTTAGGGTTTAGGGTGTCTCAATGAGTGGGCGCGCTGGTGCTGAAAGCACCCAGGCGCGCGCCCCGATTTGCATAAGCCCACCCCCGCTGGCGCTCCACCCTCGCCTTGACCTCTACGGGTTTAGGGTTCTTTTGAACTCTGATCGTGCTTTTGCTATTTTTCTCTTGTTTATTGGTTGGGTTTAGAAGCAAAAGTCAGAGGTTTGGGATTGGGTTGGCTGCCGCCATCGCGCCTGAAGTCAAAGGGGTGGGATGGGCGGTTGCTGCTGCCTTCCCTTTCGCTGATGCTGCAGCTGGACCTGGTGGCCTTGTGAGTCTTTTTGAAAGTCAAAACCCCAAAGGTTTGGGCTTGGGGCTGGCTGCCGCCTTCGCCCTTGGTGATGCTGCGTCCTGTTGATGATCTGGATCCCTAGCTTGAAAGGGCCAGGCACCTCAGGCCAAGGCCTGTTTTTCAGGCAGGGTTCAGGCAAAAGGTTTCCGGCAAGCAAATCCAGTCCCAGGCAGGGGGCCACAGCCTCCCAGCAAGTTTTTCTAAAACTTAAAAACCCGAAGGTTTGGGCTTGGGGCTGGCTGCCGCCTTCGCCCTTGCATGCTGCATCCTGGCTGGGGATCTGGATGCCTTGCAAAAATCCTCAGACCAAGGCCAGGGCCAGAGCCAGGGCCAGGGTCAGGGCCAGGGTCAGGGCCAGCAGGGGCAGCAGGCAGGGGCCTCCCAACAAGCAGGGCCGGCCTCCCAGAAAGCAGGCAGCCCATCCAATGTCTATCAGCAGGGGTCTCCCAGGCATCAGGCAGGGGCCTCCCAGGCAGGCCTCCCAATCAGGCCTTCCGGGGCCGGCAGCAAAGGCCTCCACAGCCTTCTAGAGCTTTAGGGGCCTCCCAGCCAGGCCTCCAAAGAGTCCAGGCAGGGGCCTCCCACACAAAACCTCCCACACACCAACAGGCAGGGGCCTCCAACAGGCCTCCCAGGCAGGGGCCTCAGGGCCAGGCAGGAGCCCCAGGCCGGGGCCTCCCAGGCAGGGGCCTCCCAGGCAGGGCCTCCCAGGCAGGGGCCTCCCAGCTCCCAGGCAAAGTCCTCCCAAGGGGCCTCCCAGGCAGGGGTCCCAGGCAGGGGCCTCCCAGGCAGGCAGGGGCCTCCCAGGCAGGGGCCTCCCGGCAAGAGGTTGCGATGTTTTGCCCGAAGGTTTGGGGTACCTTATTCTAGGGCGACCTGACGGGTTTCTCGCCAGCGACCTGCCGGGTCCACCGCGCAGCCCGCAGCTGCCTGCGGGACTGGAGCTCCGTCGCCCGCCGGAGGGCTTCTGGCTCCGGAGCTACCTCGCCTGCCGGCTTCGGTGCGTTCGCCCTGCTCGACGGCCCCGGGCTCACTCAGTTTAGGGTTTAGGGTTTAGGGTTCAGGGTTTAGGGTTAGGGGAGCAAATTAGCACCGAATGCAGGGATTTAGGGTATTGGGGCTTTAGGGCGTTTAGGGCTTGGGCTTGCAGAGTGTAAGGGCCTTCTGGGGTTCCAGGGCTTCGGGTTTAGGGTTTAGGGTTTAGGGTTTAGGTTTAGGGTTTAGGGTTTAGGGTTACAAGGCCTCTGGCTCAGGGCTTAGAGGCGTGTCAGTGCTCTTGCGGGAAGTAATCTTCAGGGCCGCGCCAAACACCCCCAAATCCTTACTTCAGACCCCAAGCACGCATGCAAGTAACGGGCTAGGCAGCCCAAACCCCCTAAACCCAAAACCCTAAACCCTAAGCCCTAAGCCCTAAACCCTAAACCCTAAACCCTACATGTTAGGGTTGAGGGTTTAGGGCTCCATGAATCTCCTCCCCAATGTAGGGTCTGTCGGGTGTTTGGGTTTAGGCAGGGTTTAGGGTTTCGGGTACCCCCTAAGCCTTAAACCCTATGCCCTAAACCCCAAACCTGAAACCCGAAACCCTAAACCCTAAACCCTAAACCCTAAACCTAAACCCTAAACTGATACTAAGTGATCTTCAGGTGCAGGGCACCCTCGAGGAGCTCTGCCAGTGACCTCGACAGCGCTTCTGCCGGGTGGGGGCTTCTTTTTTGTTGCTAGGGTTTAGGGTTTAGGGTTCAGGGGTTAGGGTTTAGGGTTTAGGGTTTAGGGTTTAGGGTTTAGGGTTTAGCGCTTAGGGCTTGGGAGTTTCAAAGTTAGGGTTCAGGGTTTCAGAGTTCTACAACAAGCATGATGTGCGCGACGAAGGAGGAGCCATCGGTTCTTGGGGACTACGTGAACCCTATCGATCTTGCTGATCAGGGGCTGGGGCGCATATATGCACGCCAGCCGACATTCAACATGACGCCAGAACACGCCCTTAAGTTCCTCTATCAGATCCCTGGACTCCTTACGGGTTGATCTAAATTGTGGGCCTGCTTGCCATAGATCAGAAGAAACCTGCTACTCAACCGTTACCACACAGGAAGAGCTTGCGAGTTAGCTCATCCCCTGCATGCTCCCAACCATCCCCCCCCCCCCCTCCCCCCAAAGTGTGTAGGGTTTTCGTGCTTACGGTAAGTCGTATTCAACGGCTCCGAATCCCTAAGCCCTGTGCCATCCAGGTACTACAGCGCCTTGCCCGAGCAGGTTCCTGGCTTTCTCTCTACTTACCCGCTCCAGGCGCCAGGGGCAGTTTACAACCAAAGAACGGCCTAGAGCCCCCAACCCTGAACCCGACAAACAGCCTTGAATGGTTTAGAGTTTGGGGCTCTGGGTGTAGGGTTTACTGAAAGGAGGGATTCCGGGTCACTGTGGGCTCTGAACCCTCAAGCCCCCAAAATGGAGTCTTGAATGGCCAGCGCTTAGGGTTGGTTCGGGGTTTAGGGCTTAGGATGTAGGGTTTAGGGTTTAGGGTTTAGGATGTAGGGTTTCGGCCTCAGTTAGGAAGGATTTTGAGTGCAAAGACACAGGTGGGGGGATTTGGCGAAGGCATGCCCGAGGCTGGCAAAGCAGAAGGAAGGAGCAGCAACAAGGCAGGGTTTTAGGGATTTGGGTTTAGGGTTTAGGGTTTAGGGTTTAGGGTAATAGCACGACGGACGCAACAGAGTGCAACAGCGATGCAGGTTTCTCGACACGAAGCCTAGCCCAAACCTCCTAATCAAACCACTAGACCCCTAAATCCCAAACCCTTAACCCTAAACCCTGAACCCTAAATCCCTAAACCCTAAACCGAAGCCCCCCTGCTTTGTGAAGATTCCTTGGCCTCCCTCTCGCCGCAGGAGGTCTACCAGCTGCGTGACACGTGCCTGGGTACCGGCTGGAACGTTCCCTGGCCGAGCCCGGGTTTAGGGTTTAGGGTTTAGGGTCTAGGGTTTAGGGTTTTAGGGTTTAGGGTTTAGGGGTTTAGGGGTTAGGGTTCAGGAGTTTAGGATTTAGGCACCAAACTTGATCAGCTTTTTTGATTGCTGCTTCGGACTTCTGCGTGTTGCAAAGGGTAGCCTGTAGGAGTTTTTTTCAAAAGTATAGGGAGTATAGGGTTTACAGGGTTAAGGGTCCCCTTGTGTTCCAGATTCTTCGAGGAAAGATAACCCCCCCCCCCCCCCCCCCCCAACCCCACCCCCCCCCGCACCCCCCAAAAAAACCAACAAAAGAGAGATCATGAATTAACGTTACCAGCATAGCATCTACATCAGAAGTTATGAAGCCCTAAGCCCAACGTGCCCTGAATGGCTTTAGGGGGGCAGGGGTCTCTTGGAGGTCATGAGGCCAAGGTAGATCCGAAAGACGCCATCAGCTCACAAACCCTGAACCCTCAACCCTAAACCCTAAACCCTCAACCCTAAGCCCTAAACCCTAAGCCCTCAACCCTAAACCGCAACCCCTGGGTTGGTGCTCTCTAAGAGTTACCGGCGCCCTTCTAGACCCAAAACCCTAAGAAGCTGTGGAAGTTCCTAAGGGAGGGGGGCTTCCAAGCAACCCTCTAAAACCCTATAAAACCCTATAAAGCCCTATAAAACCCTATAAAACCCTAAAAAACCCCTATTATAAAACCCCATAAAACCCTATAATCCCCTATAAAACCCTATAAAACCCTATAAAACCCTATAAAACCCTATAAAACCCGAGAACCTCAGGGGAAGCCCCGGAGCCATAGGCTACAAGGAAGCATTCGGGACACACTGGGCTCCGTGGGCTTGCTCCCTTTGGGCATCCCCCCTCCCTGAAGAACCCTCTCAGGGCCAGGGCTTTGCGTTTCATAGGGTCTTAGGGTCTATGGGCTTTAGGGTTTAGGTTGTTTTCTTCTTCTTCTTCTTCTTCTTCTTCTAGAGCAAGGTTTACGTATACCAAAACCTCTTAATCCAGAGCCTTCTTGTCTCAGCTGAGCCGTCCCGGCTCCCTCCTTCGACATGACCGCTCTTTGAGGCCCGTGGCCCCAAGTTTCATCTTCGGTTACTAGGGAGCCTCGTAGGGTTTAGGGTTTAGGGTTTAGGGTTTAGGGTTTAGGGTTTAGGGTTTAGGGTTTAGGGTTTAGGGTTTAGGGTTTAGGGTTTAGGTTGGGTTTAGGGTTTAGGGTTTAGGGTTTAGGGTTTAGGGTTTAGGGTTTAGGGTTTAGGGTTTAGGGTTTAGGGTTTAGGGTTTAGGGTTTAGGGTTTAGGCACCCCCCAAAGCAGCAAAACCATAGCCCACAGCAGCCCCTGGCTGCGATTGGCAAGGCCATGGACCTCTACCAGCAGCCAGGAGCTGCCAAAGCAGTCAGAAAGGCCCGAGACACCCTCAAGGCCTGGAAGTTCTTGAAACCCTAAACCCTAAACCCTAAACCCTAAACCCTAAACCCTAAACCCTAAACCCTAAACCCTAAACTTGCTTCCTGGATGGGCTAGGCGTTGAGAATGTGCAGGGCTTCTAGGCCGTTTGGGGGGGTCCAGGGTTTGCGCCTTTAGGGTTTGGAATTGGGGTTTAGAGTTCAGGGGTTGGGGGCTCCAGAGGGGTCAGGGTTTTGGAGGGATTTGGGCTTTTTGAGCTGCGTATCGCTTAGAGTTTGGCGCCTAGGAGTGTTGAGGTTTGCGGCGGGTTTGAGTGTTGGGCTTCTGACCCTAAACCCTAAACCCTACACCCTCGATTGAAGTAGTGGCGAGGATGGCCTTCCAGTGGGGGTTGAGGGTGTAAGAATTCTCCTATCTGAGTCCCTTATATTCCACGGAATTAGAATCTAACGTACACTCCCCTAAACCCTAAACCTTAAACCCTAAACGCTAAAACCCTAGCCCCAAACCCTAAACTGTTGAAGAGGCCCCTATCTTGGGGTTGTTAAGGGGGGGACTGTAAGGTGCAATTGCCGGGAAATTTAGCGCAAACAGGAAGCGGGTCTTGACGATTCAACACGGGCTTAGGGTTTAGGGTTCAGGTTTCAGGGTTTAGGGTTTAAGGTTTACGGTTCAGGTTTCAGGGTTTAGGGTGTCTACAGGGTGAAGCCCGAAGCCCCAAAGCATGAAAGTTTTTGGCTGGGGGCTTCTGCCGCAGCTGCCGCACTGGGACTGGTGGCTCCTGCACTACCTGGCCCTGGGCCCTAATGCCCTGCCAGTCGCCAACGTTGGGTTTAGGGTTTAGGGTTTAGGGTTTAGGGTTTAGGGTTTAGGGTTTAGGGTTTAGGGTTTAGGGTTTAGGGTTTAGGGTTTAGGGTTTAGGGTTTAGGGTTAGAAGTGGGCCTCCACAGTCTGGGCGTTCCTCCGGGACTACCTCAATGCCTGGTTCGCAGGTACCCTCCCGAGCCGTACTGAGTTTTTCTTGGCAGGCGTGGGCCTGCTGTGTGCTGAGCTGGTCTAGGATGCCCAGCAGTACCCTTATTCCCTTTTTGGGGGGTTTAGGTTCCACCCTTATTCCAGGTAGTACCCTATTTTCCCTTTTTGGGGGTTTGGGTTCCCTTATAAAACCCCTTTAAGCAAACAAGGGCACCGCCTTCTCAAGCCTGGGTTACTGGGCAGGCTAGTCGTCGACTCTACGACCCCTGGGATTCGTTCACGTCCTTGTGTGCGACAAGTGGATCAAACTCGGATGCCAACCCTGAGCCCAAGAAAACCTACAGTGAACTCCAAAAAGTGGGAAGAGGTGTACGAAGCGAATCCCAGCTCTAATCATCCTTAAACGCCTTGCATGAATTCCAACTCCCCCACATGGCCCCGCGCCTCCACAAGAAGCGTCCGAGTACAAAGGAAGGCAGCGCCAAGTCGTCCTTGTTAGTTCCTTACAGATACTTGGAAATAATGGTTAAAAGTTCTTAGGGGTACTTGGATAAGATTTTAATTTAATAGTTCTTAGGGACCTAAAGAGTGCACTTGCAGGCCTGCCCTGCCCAGAGAGTGAGTGTCCCTGTCAGGAAAGCCCCTGGTACTTGAGGGTTTTAGGGTTTAGTGTTTACGGTTTAGGGTTTATGGCTTGGGGTCTTTCATGTTTTGACTCCAGCAGAGCCGGAGGTAGTTTCCTAAATAGGGTCCCTTTTTGGGTACCCATTACAACGCGGCACCCTTGAACAAGGGATCCAAGAAGGGACCCTAATGTAGAGAACTACCCATATGGAGATATCGTATAGTAAACGTATGGATGGCAACTGACGCCCTTCACGTGGCAGCAACTGGTTTCAGGCACAGGGGGATATGCGGCTTTCCATGGCGGCGGTCGAGTTGCTTGGTCTGCGATTTCGCCATGACCCTCAATGTTGAGAATGTTGAGGCGCTACCGGGTTGTTAGGGATTAGGGTTTAGGGATTAGGGTTTAGGGCCTAGGGTGGTCAGGTTTAGGGACGGGAGTTTTGGGTTTAGGGCTTAGTGGCTTAGTGCTCTCATGATTTCTTAGCTGTCGCTCTTGTAGAGTTACTCTGCCAATTTTTGGGTTTCCTGATCTTGTAGGGAGAATACTGGCTCCTTGCTGGTTATAATTTTTCATGTTTGTCATCTTAAATTCCCAATAAGGATTAACAAAATGATCATTTCTAATATTACCCCAACAAGGAAGCAGAATCGAGTGGAGCCTGTTTGGCTCCCTGGTCATCGGAGATGTAAGTAGGGGCTAGGTTGACACCCCATGTCGAAGTTTCCATTACCCCGCTCACCCCCCCCCCCAGCCCTCAAACCCCAAACCCTAAACCTTAAACCCTAAACCCTGAACCCTCAAGACAAAAGAAATGGAAATTGTATGTGGTTTCAAAATGAATTTTCCAAGTTATTTGTCTAAACAGCTCACAAGCTGAGCTTAAGGAAATACATCCAAAACACTCCAACCTCTCCCCTCCCCCCCTCCCCCCCCCCCCCCCCCCCCTCGCCCCCCTCGCCCCCCTCCCCCCCTCCCCGCTCCACTCCCCTCAAGAATGAAGACCTAGTTCCAAAAAGCAACTTTCGTTCAAAACGTTATTGGGACCCAAACCCTATACACTAAATAAACCCGAAACCCTAAACCCTAAACCCTAAACCCTCAAGAAAAATAAATAGAAATTGTATGTGGTCTCATTATGAACTTTCCGTTTTTTTCCGAGTTTTGATTTGGGGGCCTCCCGGGGCCTGGGCCTTCCCGGGCCTAGTTTACTTCCGGGGCCTAATCTGGGCTTCCCGGGACCTAATGTTAATTTGGGTTTGCCGGGGCCTGATTTGGGGTTTCTCGGGCCCGATTTGGAGCTTCCCGGGCCCTCACCCAGATTTCCGGGGCCTGATTTTGGGGTTTTCGGCTTAATTTGGGGTCGATTTTGATCGAGATGGCCCTCAACCGGCCCTTCGACAGACGCAGAGGCCTGCCTATTGCAACTTGTGCCTGTTCCAGTACCGCAAGATGCGAGATTGCAACTTGTGCCTGGGGACCTCCTCTGGGCACGGCCACAGAATTCCTAAAGGGCAGACACAAAGTGTGTGTGGGTTGACGAAGATAAGTTCCTACTTTTTCCGCAACTCCAAGCATCTCCGACCCAGCTACGTGGCCAAAATTGCCCACGGGACCTCTGAAGCTGACGCCAAGCGGCAGGTCAAGGGGGCTGTCAGCAAAACAAGCAAGCTCAAGAAGCAGGAGGCGAAGATGCTGAAAGCCAAGGAAAAACACGAAGAAGAAGAAGAAGAAGAAGAAGAAGAGGAGCAACAGCTGCATTAGACCGCCTTTTGGCGGAAGAAACACAAGTGGCGCTAGAGACCGCCCGAAGAAAACTCAAGGCGGCCAATCCGCAGGGCGGTAGCCTTGGCAGCACGGCAACACCTGCCATCGTCGCTGCCACAATGACCGCAACCAAACCTGCTAAGCTTCCTCACTGTTTTGTCTTCCATGACCCTGCGGTACAACCAGTGGATGTACGTGCAGCTGAAAGCGGGCAAGGGGCCGATTGCCGCGCACAAGGAGGCTCGCCTGCCGGTCAGACTTTAAAAATAGGAAAAAGCTTGCTTCCATCTCAGGCGCTGGCGCTGGCGGCCCTCAAGGATGGTGAACTTCGCAAGAAGACCCGCCTCACCATGGCTCGCAAGTCCAGTGCTGCTTCCCAGGCGTCCAAGGCGTCTAGAGCGTTTGTTAAAATCTGCGCGGGGGCGTGTTTGGACGTGTGTGCGCGTGCGTGTTTGCGAGCAAAAGGAGTGGTCCGCCGCCGAGTGGGCAAAAAACGAGTGCGAAAACGTTCTGGTCTGAGAGGGTTGGGAGACGGGCGGGGAAGGGGGTGGGAAGGAGGAAGTGGGCATGAGATGAGAAGTGGCTGCATTCGTTCGCTGAGTTCGCCACGTGCGGGGAGTACAAGTGCACTCTCAAGAAGAAGCTGTGCTTGTCCTGCGTGGGGCTCTTAATTTAGTGTTTTTCGTTGTGTGTTGTTAGTTTGTTGTTTTGTTGTGGAAACGTGAGTGAGTGCAGGCTAACCAAGTGCCGTGCATCACCGCACGGGCCTGAGAAGAGCAGATGATAAGATGGAGAGAATAAAATTTGGGGAGCAGTTGAGGCCCGTGCTCAACTCCAAGGTGCTTTTCGCAAGATGTTTTTTTTGGAGTGCAACATGTGGCAGGGTGTGGCTCCGCGCGACTGCGATTATGGACTCGATCAAGTTCACGCGCCGCAACCGCAAGTAAAAAAAAAAAGTCCGGGTTGTTTCGAGGGAGTTCTTTGGTGCGTTGCTGCCCAGCATTCATGCGTGGTGCACGAGCAACTTGATATTTGAGCAACTTGCATTTTTCTACCTGCTATTTGGTTCACGAGTACCCCGCTCCCCGCCAAGAACCCGACTTTTCGCCATGGGCACCAAACCCCTGGGGAGGGCCTAAATTAAGCCCCGGGAAGCCCCAAATCAGGTGCTGGGAAAGGGCCCGGAAGGCCCTAAATCGGGCCCGGGAAACCCCGAAATAGGCCCCGGCAAACCCCAAATAAAATAAGGCCCCGGAGGTCCGGGTTTAGGCTTCAGGTTTTCAAGGTTTTTGCTGGTTTCACAAATCCAATAAAATATGTAGGGTTTAGGGTAAAGGTCGCCCCTGCTCGCCCAGCCCCCCCCTCCCAAAAAAAATACCCCCAAAACGTGTCGGTCAAAGTCAAAATTGGAACCCAACACTCAAAACTTTCGGTCAAAACTTTCGCTCAAAACTTTCGTTCAAAACGTTTCGGTCAAAACGTTTCGTTCAAAACTTTATTAGGGCCCAAGCCCTATACAATTTCTATAAACCCTTAACCCTAATCCCGCCCGCCACCCCACTCTCTTGTCTTTTGGCGTAGGTGGGCGTTGGTCGAGCGCTCAGCGAGACCCTGCGAGAGAGCCTCCAGGCGGGGGACCGAGCTGGCTTCCAGGCATCCGGCTCCCCCTGACCTGGTCCCAGCCAAAGTTGCAGGCCTTGGCGGCCTGGCCTTGCCCCTTCATGCCATCCCAAGTTGTCCGCATGCCTTGTCCTGTGTTCCCTTGCCCTGCCTCCCTGGCCGTAGCCCCTTTGCGCCAACCCAAGCCGTGCACATGTGATGCTTTGTAAAAAGGGCCTGGCCTCCTTGGCCTCAGCCCCTTCGCGCCAACCCGCGCACTGGTTGCTGTGTTCCCTGGCCCTAGCTGCCTCGCGCCAGCCCAACGTTGTCCGCACTCTTTTGTCCTGTGTTCCGCCTGCCTCCCTGGCCTTAGCCCCTTTGCGCCAATCCAAGCTGTCGACGCATGTGTGGAGGTCTCAAAAAGGCATGAGTGCTGACCCATGTGATGCTTTGTAAAAAAATGAAAGCAGGTCTTAACTCCTTGAGAGTTGTAAGAGGGCGGTCTTGGGGTGGGTAGGTCTGCAAGTTCTTGCACGCTCGCAAAGCGCGCTTGTGTTTGGCACACCCTAAACCCCAAACCCGAAACCCTAAACCCTAAGCACCCTAAGCCCTAAACCCTACCTTCAACCCACAAATTTTGAAACCCAGACTTGGCGGCTGCAGCGTGCGAAAGCCGAGGTCCAAGAGCCTCCGAAAGCTGCTGTCCTATGGCCAGGCTGGAGCCACGGGTGGTTAGGGATTTAAGGTTTAAGGTTTGGGGTTTCGGGGTTTCGGGGTTCGGGTTTCGGCTCGAACCCCTAATTATGATTATGCCAGGGATAGCGAGAGGGGGGGTGGGGGGGAACCCGAGCAGCCCAAGGTATGTTGTCTGCTAGACTCTACTAAGCCCCAGAGTAGGCCCTTGTTCCCTAAAAAAGGTCTGGTTTCCCAACCGTGTTCTATCCGGAACCAGAGCAAAAAGCCTCTCCGGGAAGCCCCTGATCCATAAACCCCCCCCCCCCACCCCAACAAAAAAACATCCTTAAAACCATCACTCCTGCACTTCACGGCTTCGGGGTTAGGCATCGCGGACCCGGAGTAGGCCCTGATTCCCTTTTTTTGGGGTTGAGGCTCCCTTGTAGGACCTTTAAACCAAAAAGGGCAAACCCCAACCCCCAAACCCTAAACCTAACCCTAAACCCTAGACCCTAGACCCTAAACCCTAGACCCTAACCCATGGTTTTTCTCTCAGGGCGATGAGCTCTGGCGCCTGCTGGTAGCGACAGGCACCGGGACGTTCTTCGTTGGGTTTAGGGTTTAGGGTTTAGGTTTAGGTTTAGGGTGTAGGGTTTAGGGTTTAGGCCCCCAAGTATCACTAAGGATTCATAAAGGGAGGTGGGTGAGGTGGCATGGATTTTGAAACAGGTGGTGGTGCTTTAGAAACCCTAGGTGGTGCTTCGTGATGTTCTACTTCTTCAATGGTCTGGGTATTTCTAGGCATAGCCTTTACTCTTGGTTTAACGTTGTTTTTTCTAACAGGGTTAGCTGTTACATCACAAGGTTTGCCCTCACACTTCTCAGGATGAGAATACTTCAGCGTCTTCATTGAAACTGTCTTGTGGCAGTCTTGACACTCTGTCTTTTGCTTTGCTACTTCTGTGATTTTTACCCTAGTAGGTTTTTTGCTGTCTGGTTTGATTTCTTCATCTGGTTCAGGTGGTGTTTTATTTTTAGTGCTTTCAGTCTCTTCTGGTTTAGGGGTTTCATCAACGGTTGCCATTTCGTCACTCATATATATTATTCGATATATTTTCTATATTAATTCAGTCCATATCTCTATTATGAAAGAGCAACGAAAAAGTAATCTGCACTTTGTTTAGATCTATAATATATAACGTTCCCCGCCCCGTCTGTTACTTTGAATGTTAACCGGTGAAGGTTTGAAAGGTATGGGAGCATGGGAGTACTTGGGGTTTCAGTTGCTATCCTTTGTGGTGGTGGTGGTGGTGATGGAGTGGGTGGGGAAGGGGGAGGGTGTCTTGAGGGTAGGTTTGGGCTTTCGGTGGAGTTTACAGTGTGCGGGGTGCCGTGCGGGTGCGTCTGGAAATTAGAGAATCAAGGGTTTCAAAGCAGCAACGCGCCTGTCAATTCACATGAAGCCCTCCCAAAGCCGAAACCCGACCTGTGGGGTTCTTGGACAGGAGCCAGGGCATGGCCCTTGCGCAAGGCGAAAATTGCTTTTCCTATTAAAGCGGGAGAATTACCCCGGAAGGGGGAGGCGGGGACGTGGGCCTCACAGACTTAACATCAAGATCAGAAATCGTCTCTAGCTTTCTGCCATAGCGCAGGCTTTTGGGATGTGCGTTGAGTGATCTGCCAGCTCACCTTTCTCCTGGCAGGCTGGAGTTTCACGTGGCACGGCGCTCAGTGGAGCATCAGTTCGGGTCGGATGAGTGTTTCAATTTTGTGGGCCACGCAGGACTACATGGGTAACCAGAGTTTGAACTGGTCATGTTTTGTACGGGCTGCTTGCAACCCTTCTTTACTAAACGCTGAACACCCCTAAGCTTGCAGTTATCTAAGAACCTTCAGTCGAAACCCTGTCGTGGACCCACCAGCAGAGCCCCCTTCAGCCCGTGGCCCTGTCGCGGTTCATGGCTTATATAGGGAGTCGTGGGTAATTTGGCGAGGCTTCCGTCATGACCGTCTTCTGGTTTGGATGAGTCCTGTAGACGTTACGCTACTATCACACATGCATCGAACCTTTTTGTTCTACCTAAACCCTAAACCCAAAACCCAGTGGGCGGCAGGCTTTAGACCCGGACACGCTCCCAATGACACCGCCCTCGGTAGAAGCAAGCATGTGTCAAGCCCACTCCCTGCTTAGGCACCTTCTTGTAGAAGCATCCGTGGACCAAGACTCCGATGGGTTTAGGGTTTAGGGTTTAGGGTTTAGGGTTTAGGGTTTAGGGCCTAGGGCCTAGGGCTTAGGGTTGAAGGTTCCGGGATGTGCCCAGATGCCACACAGGTATGGCATTCCTGATATCGCCAACGGGGTGGAGCAAGGGCTCAACGGACTCTGCGGCTGGCCGCACTAAACCCTAGGGTTTAGGGTTTAGGGTTCAGGGTTTAGGGTTTAGGGTTTAGGAATTAGGGGTTAGGGTTTAGGGTTTAGGGTTTATAAACCCCAAACCCCAAACCCCAAACCCCAAACCCTAAACCCTAAACCCTAAACCTTAAACCCCTGCCCTTATAGACCTTCAACGTTTAGGGTGCAGAGGGGTATACGGGTCTACGGTAATAGGGCTTCGGACACTCAAGTCAAGCCCGGCGGTTCGTTGGGTGGAAAAAGAGGATCCTAGCCCGGAACAAGGGTACTTCTGAGCAGTCTAGAGTAGAGCAGCCGCAAGCCGAACAGC